GTAATTCTGGTCATCCTGTGAAACTGTTGCCTTACTTTATTGAAATTTTATTTCAAATCAGACAACCCTTTGAGATGGAATGCTGAGTATACAAGAATGAGCATGTTCAACATCTTCTGTTTGCCTTCAATCAAGGTCTCAAAGTTGCCAAAGTTGCTTGAGACATTTGCGTTGTGTACAGAAATAAACTCGGATGAAATTATTCATCAATAATAATTATTATGAATGACATTGCTATAATAATAAATGAATATTAAAATGAACATTAGTCAACAATTAATTTTAATGGCTTTCAAAACTTAGTCTAATAAAGTGTTAGTTTGTTACATATATTCATTCAATTTATCTGAAAAATAACCTTTCATATCCTTTTTACGTTTCTCTGGTTACCCTGTAAAACTGCTGTCGCACGTTATTGAAATTTTATTTCACATTAGACACACCTTTGAAATGGAATGTCAGGTGGAGAATAATGAGCATGTTCAACATCATCTTCCTGTTGGTTCACTGTATTGTACAAAGCAATCTTTCTCGCCAGAATCTATTTTACATATTTATAAGTCTACCACTCACCTGTGTTTCAGAATATTTTAGACTCAAAAAGGCAATTCAGTTGAAAAGACCTGACCAGCAATACAATATAATTATTCAACAAGACAATCTCACCCAAACTTCCCTAACATGACTCCATCCTTGTGCAAATTAATTGAAACAACTGCTTTAGTTTCCTTTCTTTCACCATATGGTCAGTTTTAGACCCACTGAAGTGACTGGGTGTAATCGATTTCTATTTTTTCCTTAGATTAGATCATTTGCAGTGGTGTGCTGTATTATGAGTCTATTTTTGCAGTGTGTGATAAAATTTGACCTTAAAAATATTGCGTTATCTGTGATTGCATCAGATTTTTATCACACCCAGACACTATTGTCCAAATTGTTGATTATCTTATGGCCATTGTCTATAAAAGACATTACTCCAAGGAAGTGTATGAAAATTTGTAATCCTGCATGGACACACTGGCAAGCCTTACAAATCAAAGTACTATAGACTAGCCCGGAAACTCTCCAGATTTAAATCCAATTAAGAATCTATAGTCATTCTGCAAGGAAAGACTTTATGGAACAGACATACGAAGTACTAACATGTGCATTGGGTTAGGTTTCATTGGAAAAATACAAAAAAAAGGTAATAATAATGGAATTATTTGTTTTGTTTCAATTAATTTGCACAACGGTGTAAGCATGCAATTAAAGAGTTTGGTTGGATATTCTGCCACACCCACCATATTTGCCTTCAGACTAACATATTTTGGGGCATTTTCATTCAATTTGTGGGGTGTTTCATTCAACAACAATGTGGGGCTTAAAACATCACTTGATGAATTTTTCAAGTCAAAACATAGTGAGACATTGAACAGTTAGTGGATTATTAACAGGAGGTCAATCAATAAAGGAGAATACATTGTTGAATGGTTCAACAGAAATATTAATAGATAATATATATTAAAATAAATTATAAAATACAAACAAATTTATGCAACAGCATAAAAGATCTTTATATTTTGAAATATGCATTTCAGCCATAATCAGTCTCACTGTACAGATTGCAAAATTATTTTGTGCATTTTTACTCATTCTTATTCATCCAAGCTCCATAGCTATCTAATTTGAGCTCCAGTAGGTAGCCTCCTCATTGTAACACCAGAGGCATGTCATATTGGCTGGAAAATAGGGTAATATCAAAATCTTTCTTGTATTTTTTAAGTATCTGACATTGATGTATTCATGACTTTTTTTAGCAGTATTACTTCCATTGCTTTTTAATAGTTTCAGCCAATACTTCATTTGCTATATCTTTTCATCCTCACTTTCAAAAGAGTTATTCTTAAACGACGCTGTGAAAAATGATTCTTTGTCGTCAGAGCCTGAGAATAACCCACAGCTGGAATGCTCTAATGATTCTCTTCAACTTCCAGGAATCCATTTTTTGCTTGTATCACCAGTGAATGTGAATTTAACCAAGGAAATCAAGCAAAAACTCATACCAAATGTTAACAGACACTGAGGGCTCACGTCTTCCTGTAGCTTCTCAGGAAATGTCAGAAGACAGAAGACAATTATAAGGAGAACAAGTGTCTACAAAATGCGTGTATTAATATAAAAGAAAGTTGTTAATCTACTGGAGCCACCACTACCACGACGACCACCTCCACCAGTACAAACAACCTGACAACCGCAACTACTACCACCACTCTCTCTTCCTTATCATCATCATCATTGTTGTTGCTATTATAATAAGATGATGATGATATATCAAAAGTATTTTAACTTTTTACAGACCTTTACTCCAATTATTATATATTAGTGTGTATTTTTTTAATCATTTCATCCTAAGCAAGGTAATAAAGCTACTAAGACACAAGTGGTTACTGATTGTTAGAGAATATGAGAAAAAAAGAAAAACACTTAAGGAGAGAGAAAAATACAAGAATAGGAATTAAGGAGACAGAATATAACTATTGGCATTGCGTTTAAATTTTTGATGGTCAAAGTTGACTGGGAAGCAAGAAGCTTGAAGAGAGTTCTACAAGAGAGAAATGCAATAGAAAAAAACTGTTAATTATGGTTACATCTAGCCATTTCAACTGTAAAATAATGAGACCTTGCTGCCAATCATCTGAACAATTACCATGAAAGTATTTATAGAAAAGGCACAGGGAAGTGGCAAAGTAATTGAAACCTAGATGCCAGTACAGGACCAATAACATTGCAGATTTTTCTTTGAATTTCATCAATAATCTCTAAATATATAGCAAGAGAACCAGACTAAATATGAAAGCAATATTCTAAACCACAGGTGAATGGTAGACTTATAAATATGTAAAATAGATTCTGGTAAGAAAGGAAAGATTGTCTTGCACGATACAGTGAACCAACTTTCCTAACAGCAGGTTATATATATATATATATATATATATATATGGATTTTCCAAGTGTAGCTTAGATGTGGCACAAGGCCAAAAACAGGGGACACCCAGTGAGGATCGAACTCACTACTCAGTTGTAATTGTTCTAGCAAGACAAGCTTACTAACCATTACACTGCCTCAAAGTGCCAATATATATATATATATATATATATATATATATATATATGTTAGTACATAATAAAGTCCCAAATTCTTATATGGGGAATAGGCTTATTTCAACCAACAAAATTTGTTGGTCTTGTTCAACCTTGGTACAAACTGAGTTCATGTTGGAATTAGAAATTTAACTGTGACAGCTACAAAAAAAAAAAATAATCAAAAAACTAATACAGAAGAGAAGAGGTTTTATAAAATTAAACCTGGATATTAACCTTATGACATTAAATTGAGGTTATAGGAAGAATGAAATGTTAATTTGAAGTTAAGAGAGAAATAAAAAGGGACTTTTAAAAAAACCTTAAATTATATAGATAAAGTTATATTTAAAAACACAAAATCATACTTATATCTTATAATTGTCCCCTGTTCTAAGAACTCTCTTTCCTTTTAATACTTACACCTTTTTATCTATATTTTTTAGGGTTGTTTTTAAATATAACTTTGTATTTTTAAGTATAACTTTATACCTTTAAATATAACTTGTTTTTTATTTAACTTATCATTAAAGTTAAAAAAAATTTTGTTTATTTATTTCATTTTTATTTCTAAATGTATAATTTATTTTATCTTTTATTTTTTATTTCTAAATATTTTTTATTTTTTAATATAACCTATTGATTTTATAATAAATATAAACTTTTTTAAAAATATAATTTTACTTAATTTTCATATAAATTATCTAAATATGATTTATTTTAATTTATTTAAATATATCTTATTTTTGAATATAACTTGTCTTTAGAAGAGTACTTTCAGTATGATTTTGTATTTTTAAACATAACTTTATCTATATAATTTAATTTTTTTTAAAACACCTTTTTTATTCCTCTCTTAGTTTCAAATTAACATTTCATTCTTCATATGACCCCAATTTAATGTCATGAGGTTAATATCTGGGTTTAATTTTATAAAACCTCTTCCTTTTAAGATTTCGACCCACCCTGACCACTGTCTTGTGCCTTTCGTCTGACTGAAACATTGAAATGGATAAATTCTGTATCAGTTTTCCAACATTTTTTTTCTAATTCCAATACAAACTCAGTCTATACTGGTGTTGAATGAGGTCGACAAATTTTGTCGGTTGAAATGAGCCTATTCCCCATATGAGGTAATTTTGGATTTTATTATGTATTAATTATTTGCTCTGTAATAATAAATACATTAAGCTCTTTTTGTAGATCAGTTTTAATATTTTATATTACTAGGATCCACTTGGATTATATACCAATGGATTTATTACCTTTATTATATATATATATATATATATATATATATATATATATATATATGTATATACACACACACACACATGCAGACGGTCCCCAAGTTACATCCCCCCTGACACATGGCATTTCATGCTTACAGTGCCATCTTTTTCATTTTTTTTAATCATTTCATCCAAAACAAGGCAGTAAAGACAAGGGGTTACTGAGTATTAGAGAATATGAAGAAGAAAAAAACACGATTAAGGAGAGGGAACAATAAAAGAACAGTAATTAAGAAGACAAAAATAATGATTGACATTGCGTTTAAACTTTTGCAGATCAAATTTGACTAACAAACAAAAGGCTTGACTGATTGATTAATTCATATTTTTATGGTTTATCAACACTTTGCAGATTATTTAAAGACAGAAGATATTTTAGATTGTAAGAATTTTTTTTTAAGAAAATAATGATTTCATGATAAATCTTACTAATTAACCCATAACTGGGGAGAAGAAGAGGTAGATACATACCTACCCCAAGTGTATTTGGGCATAAGTGAATTTAACAAACACAACTGAAACTGGAACTTGGCTCTCTGATCAAAACTTCCGAGCCATTATCCATTACACCACCCACACATCCAAGCTTGCAGCACCTGGTATGCCCAAGTGGTCACCCATCTAGCTACTGACCAAACTCAACATTGCTTAACTTCTATGATTATACTGGAACCTGTGTTTCAATGTGACATGGCTGTAAGCCCCTGGAAGAGAGTTGCACAAACAAGAAATTTGAGAGAAGAAACTGTTAGTATACGGGTGCAATAGGTAAACTGTCGCCATTTTATATTTTTAATTTTGCACATATGCATTGTTTGTTTTGGATTTTGTCAACTGCGCAGTAGAGTAGGGTCAGTTGGGCACCATCTGTGAGAAAAAGAGCACCATAACACAATTTACTTCACCAGAAATTTTGAAATGGCATGCTGTACTGCTTGGCATTTGTACCAGAAGCTCCAGTAAGAACATTTTAGAGAGTTTATGTGTCAGTCTAAGAACAATGCAGATGATTCTGAATGAGTTAGATGAGCCTAATGGTGATTACAAAGGTGTTTGGTGGGATTACTAGTGATAGTAACATTATGCCTGCATTCATCTTCCCACAGGGCCTCAGACTCAACATGGAGACCTACATCAAGTGCCTTGAGGAGGTAGTGCTACCCTGGGTCAAGAGGTTGGCTGCTGAAGCCCTTATATCTGGCAACAAGATTCTGCACTATGCCACACAAGCAGGAGAATCCAGTCATGGCTTGTCAGACAATTTCTGCAACCACATCACCCCTTACATCTGGCCACCTAACTCCCCAGACTGCAGCCTTCTGGATTATTATGTGTAGGGTGCAGTTGAGTGAAAGACCAACAAAACTCCATGTAACACCAAAGATGAACTGAAGGCAATGAATAGTGCATCATTCACCATTTTAAACAAGGAGACATTCCAGAAGAGTTGCAGAAGATTCTGAAGTCATTTGGAGGCCATGGTTGAAGCCAATAGTGATTTATTGACTAAATTTATTCTTTAGTATTTCAAGACATTTTTGTGCAATTTTGGTAAATATATCTGTTAAAATGAGAGGTCAGTATTATTTTTATTTTTGAGTAATTTAGACGACAATTTAGTCATCGCAGTCAGTATATCTGTTAAAATGAGATGTCAGTGTTATTTTTATTTTTGCTTCATTTAGATGACAATTTATCCATTGCAACCTGTAAAATTAAAGTACCAAAGAGGAAAGCTCATCAGAATAATTGCCATAAAAATGTCTATAGAAAAGTACAGGGAAGCTGTGTTACAGTGATGGGAAAGTGACTGAAACTGAGATGTTAGGTCAGGACCAATAACATTGCAGATACTTTTGATTTTATCAAGAATCTCTAAATACATAGAAGAAGCAGCAGACTAAATGCGGCAGCAATATTTCATACTTGGTTTTTATAGCAACTGGATTAAAATACTTTTTCTCTTCTTCAATATTCACATAATTCAAAAGTGTTTCCAAACCTTTATAGGTTACAAATTATTTTCCATCCTCCAATCTCTCTCTCTCTCTCACAGGTGAGATGCAGTAAGCTTCTCACTGCTCTATTGATACTACCTTGAAAAGTATTCAGACGAACTACATTCCTTGGTTCCACTAGGTCTGACCTTCATGACAAGGACATGTCATGCCACTTACAGTGTAGCAAACCACACACATTCTCTCCATATCCTATTGGTGAGAAGTCAGTTTCACTTGAACAGCTTCTTCCCACGATCCACTGCTCTGTGGAAAAGATTCCCATGAGGATGTTTCCTTGATCACTATGATCTTAACCTGTTCAAGTCTAAAGTACACTGTTATCTCTCCCTCTTCTCTCTATAAAATGCAGTGTAATGGAATCTTCTACCAATAAGAAACAAAATTTATATAAAGGGTGTTTCATTAAGATGGATTATATATAAAGGTGTTTCATTAAGATGGATCAAAGTCAGCAGTAAATAATTCAGTGTTATTGATGAAAATTTATTTATTTCTCTATTGGATCATGTTATTTAAATCATGGCAATCATGTGTGAAAAATAATATCACCCAAATGTCTGCCAAACCTGAAAGAACAAGAAAAAAACTCATTAGACGCTTAAACTTAATTTACATCTAAAATCAGTCCAAGTTATTGGAACACCCTTTACATTATTGCCTGAATAATAATGCTATGTATTCATATGAATAACAAACTGCTAACAATACGAATGGGCTTGTGTTGGTGGATTTGACAACATATCATACTTTGTCAAAATGCGAAAATCGGACTTTAGATATCTGAGTCTGTAAGCATTGACTCGGTTCAGGAATAGGTCAATGTCAGTCATTCATATTTGAATCTATAAGCATTGACTCGGTTCAGGGATAGGTCAATATCAGTCATTCATATTTGAATATTTGAATCAGGGATAGGTCAATGTCAGTCATTCATATTTGAATCTATAAGCATTGACTTGGTTTAGGGATAGGAAAATATTGGACGTTCGTACTCAAGTACTAATAATAAAGAATTTCTAAAAGAAACTTCCATCATTGCTAGAAAGAGCTATAACAGTTAATGGACTTGAAAAGCTAATTTCAACTAACTGTAATATTAACCTTTCTATCAATGAATGCATGGTGTTTCCTGAATGGCAACGATTTTTCTCACCATTACTAGTCATTTTGTTCAAGGATAAGTAACTGCTGAGTTTTTAGACATGAGTTTATAAGCATTTACTTGGTTTGATGATAAATATTGATCACTGACATTTAAGTTTTTATTTAACTGCTACAAGAATAGGTAAAGATAGGTCATTTGTAAAATCAAATATAACCAAACTATTTTTACGTGTTTACTTGGATCCAAAATAGGTAGATATTGGTCATTTACATTCAAGATTGTAAACAATCATTCAGACACCTCTATTAGTCATCGCACACAGGAATTGAACCTCTCCACAACAAAGCCACATCATTTCCAATTCCATTCTCAGTTGGTCAGTTATGTTGACCCCCAAAAAATTGCAAAGTGCACAAAACGCATTTGTGTTTGAACCTCCATTTTTGTAATAGGCTTCGATAATTTTAACACATTGTTTGATTGTTAATCTTTCCATGGTTGAAATTAACAAAGACTTAAGTTGTTAAATCTGAAAGAAAAAAAAATCATTGGACAATTAAACTTAAATCAGTCCAAGTTATTGGAACACCTTTTATTTATAACTTTTTGCAAATTCCAATTTCATCTTTCACATCTATTATGATAGCATTTAAATACATTTTCTGGGCTCAATTAACTTAGGAGGAAGCAAATATTTGCATAAATGTAAGTAGATACACCAGTTGGTCGACTAAAAGACAAGTGTATCAGAATACAATACCTGGTCAGCCAGCTGTTGTATTCTGGTACACTTGTATATCTTTTAGTCGACCAACCAGTGTGTCTAGTTACTTTTATATCTTGTTCAGGGCATGAACTTTTCAGCTGAACCTCATATTACAAATTTAAAAAAATAAAAATATTTTATTCACATGGCTCTCATTAAAATAAAATGTCACAAAAATTCAAAAACTGTTTAATTTATTTATTTATTTTTTTCATTTCACCCCAAGCAAGGCAGGAATGCAAGTAGTATGCAGAGGGGGGTAGGGATTTACAGAGAATGAAAATGAGAGAAAAGACTGGGTATATGAGAGATTCAGAGAAGGATAAAAGATGATAAGGATTCAAGAAGATAGATGGCGATTGATGTTGCATTTAAATTTCTGAAGGTTGTAGTTATCAGGGAAGCAAGTAAACAGAAGGGAGTTCCACAGGTGGGAAGCATGAAAAAAGAAACTATTGGAGTAGAAGTGGTGGTTACATTTACCTAATTCAACAGTAAAAAGTGGGACCTACATGCCAATCTAGTAGCACGCTTAAATTCATGTAGTCAGGGCACCAGGGAAAAAAGCTTGTCATAGCCATTGTCATGAAAATATTTGTAAAAAAAAAAAAAGACAGTGTGAAGCCACATCATGTTGGTGAGAAAGTGACTGAAGTCAGGATCGACTTGACAAGCATTTTTGTTACTTGTATCTTAAAAATGCTTGTTAAATAAGTTGACCCACTCAGCAAACAAGCTTATAGTTTAACTCTTCATTCAGATCATTCTCTCAAAAGCTTCATATCTGCTCAGTTTTGTATCTGAAATGTAAACAGAACAATTTCTAGTGAATTAATGAGGTTATTTTTAATCCGACATTTAAGTGTTTGCGAAAATAAGCTGAGTGAAGATAATGTGCTTTCCTTAAAAAGGGAGAAATAGAACCTTGTTTGTTGCACTGTTCTTCATGGCTGAGTGGTGAAGCACACTGAATCAAACAGTGGTTTTCCATACAAAGGTGTACGCAGATTTGATCCATGTCAGTAAACACATTTTCTTTAATATGATTTCTCAATTATACATGCTGAAAGACAAAATACATGCTGCTTAATAAATAAAAAATGGGGTGTATTTTTATACAAAATATCCACTATAATAATGTTTGAAGTAATAATAATAATGAGATATGTGTGTGTGTGTGTGTGTGTGTGTGTGTGTGTATATACATATGTGTATGTGTGTATATATATATATATATGTGCGTGTGTATATATGTATATATATATATATATGTGTGTGTGTGTGTATGTATGTATATATATATATATATATATGTGTGTGTGTGTGTGTATGTGTGTGTATATATATATATATATATATATGTGTGTGTATATATATATATATATATATTATAAATTGATTGATTTAAAATATGGTTTTTAAGCTACACAGCTACTATATCTTGCTGTTTTTTCTTTTTATTTATATACATATATATATATATATATATATACATACACACACACACATAAGGCAGTATGTGTGTATAGAGAGGGAATACGCATTTATATGCATGTACTGATATATATATATATATGTATGTATATATATATATATATATATACACACACATATTGACAAAAACAAAACTGCTCACAGGTACGCACACAAAACCTACACAACATAGGAAATGTGTGTATGTGTGTATCTGTATGTGTATGTGTACATATGTGTATACTAATTCCTTATAATAAGACAGTATGTATATATGGAGAGGGAATATATGTATGCTTATGCATGCTGACAAAAACACAAAAAAATGCAAATA